TCGGCACCGCCCGAACTTAGACTTTCTTACTTGTTTAGAATTATTTTGAGTATGCCCATGCAATTTCAAGTGCTAGTTTGAAGTAGCTTGGACTTACCGTTGATTTTTGGCAATTTTTTGTTTTGTTCCATACAAATTATATCTTCCACAAAAAAATTTACCAAAAATCAACAGTAAGTCTAAGCTACTCAAAATTTGCACTTGGAATTGAATGGGCTATAACGTTTGAAATTTTGACTTGCATGGTCTTTGGTAAATAACGAGCTACATTTTCATAAAAAATAATAAGTATTAATTAATGAAAAGGGTAATCGCCAAGGAATGTTAAAATGTCTCTTCCATATTTATATATTTCCTTATATCCTTTGTTTACAGTTTTATTAACAACCTTTTTCTTCGATTCTTATTTTAATTTGGCCTGCCAATTAACAATACATCCGAATGTGGCGTATTAAAGATGATGAAGTATGACTTCTACTTCGATAAATAATCGAGATAAACTAGTGAAGACACTGATTGGAATGAGTAGAACGTGATTTTTCAAGTAGTTTTCAGCGAAAACTGGTTTTCGTTTGACAGCTTTTACATAGACGAAAACAACGAGCAACATGTTTTTGATGTCGATCAGAACATGGTATTATATTCTATGTTCTTTGTGATAACGAATGTACTGCCCCGTTTGTAAGAAAAATTGTTTTTTGGTCATTGTACAGGGAGACTCTTTTTAACTTAATAAAGAAAACACTGAAAATCGGGGCATAATCGGTACAAATATGAAAAATCGGGACATTTATACGTCCCGGCTTTTAAACAATATTCAGCGGGACAATTTTCTCAAAATCGGTAAAAATGGTCACCGTAAGTATACATAAATGAAGATACTGGAATCATTATTATGGATCTATGTATGCGCTCTAAAAGAACAAACTGACCGTATGATGTACGGTTTAAATACTTTACTTGTTTTGTATACAAGGGCGTAGCCAGCCTTTCACCTAGAGGGGCTGGAGTTTATATTGAGGGTAAAAGTATTTTTAATTAAATTGTTTTTTTTTTGTGTATATAAATAGCAAATTTTGGGTTTAAGGAAGTATAAGTTTTCTGGTATTCTTTACAACGGTATCAATTTTTAAAAATCGGTCTGTAATTTTTTGTTTAAAATATTTGTTTTTTTATACAAAAACTAATTTTTTGCCTTTAAGTGTTTTTTCTTTTTGCTTCCGAAAGCCAAACGGATTTTATCAGAAGCTTTTTCATTGCAGAAGGCTTGCCATTGCCTGCCAAACGGATACCGCTGTTATAAATAATTTTTCCTAATATAGAAGTTGTACGGAACAGTCCTTAGTATATACCTCTAACCAGGGAACCACAGCGGCAATTTGCGTAGTCGCCTAGTGAGTTTGTTTTGTTACCGCTGGTGGGTAGAGTAGAAAGTAATTTTAAGCAACTGCTTTAAGTAACTCTAGGGAACTAGTATTCCAATATTGAAAAATATCAGCCCCTCTAAGAACTCTCTTATATGTATACTCCTTAATTATAATTTGAAATTCCGACGTTCTCAGCTGAAAGCTGATTTTAAGAAAAATTTGCAATACCAAAATTTTTTGAAACAAATTATTCACAATAAACGTATACCTTAAAATTAATGCCATAAAAACTCGTTTGGAGCGAATTCAATAAATTAAAAAGAAACATTACGCCATATTGGATCCGCCATTTTGAATTTTAAAAATTCATGGACATGTTCATAATCAGCGACCCCAAATACCTCTAAGTAAAAAGTTCCAAGCGAATTCAATAAATTTTGAAAAACTTTCCCGACCTACTGAATCTGCCATATAGGATTTTTGAATCTTAACTAAAGATTTGTAATCAGTGGGCCCATAAACTTTTAGTACCAGGTTGACCGAGTTACATACATATGAATAGTAATATTTAACCTTTTTTTCTAAACAAAAAATTAAATGATTATGCTATTCAAAATAGGTGGCAACCCCATTAAATATTTTTGAATTAGGGATCTTTAAAATACCTACATACCTTTTCCAAGAACCAGAAATAATGAAAAATTTTTGTTGTGATTTTTCTTGAGAGCTGGTGTGAATACCTACAGCATAGTTCATATTCGACTATTATTTATTTTAATGTAGTCACATGTCTTTAATTCTTTCCAGATACATTAAGCAAAGAAAAACGAAAAATGTTGAACGAACAATACACGGAATGTAGAATTCTACCCACCATCAACGAAACTTTTCCTCAATTTGGTCGATCTATTGCAACGTTGCTCTCGCCACTTGACTTATCGCTGCGCGCCTCCAACATCATACCGATAACGCCACCCTCCACACCCTCACCGCCGCGTAAGCGTCAAAGATTAATGTCAGACGAGAACAGCCTCTGGCGACCGCATGCCATGGGGGCAGCTCAACTAACACCGCTAACCACGTTGCTACCAGCAACAGCCATAGCCACAACCACACACACACACACAGCAACAGCAACAGCAACAGCAACTTCAGCCTCAGCCGCTGGTAGCAATTACCTGCCTCAACTAACTTCAATCTACGATTGTCGTCACGACGAATTACCGACGCATCATGCAGCGTCCAGCGGATATAAAAACAATTTACACGAAATAAGAAACTGCTTTGAAGAAATTCCAGAAAGTCAACCAACCGCATTGCAACCCATCCCAAATGGACCCCCGTTACGAGAGCAAAAACATCCGCACTTACAACAACAAACGCCACAACAATGCCAATTGCCCATTATATGCGTGGACGATGAAACGATTGTGTTGACCGAGGACGAGGAAGAAACACTTGTCAGTTCGCACGGATACACCGAGGACATGGACGACGAAGAGGACGACGACGACGCCGACGATGACGTTGATGATGGCAACGCCGACGATGTGTTGGAAGCAGTCAGGATGGCTGACTTTAGACCAGCATTGTACACTGATGCCAGCAGTAATGAGAGTAAGAAAGAAGTAGGCGAGTGCAGGGGAAATGATGAGCATGCGGGTGATGGTGAGGATGAAGAAGAATACGTAGACATCTTGAGCAACGACGACGACGACTTAAATCCGCTCAATAGCGCTAATTTCACACAACATCTGCAGAGTCGAGCATTGGAGGAAGAGCTCGAAAAGACCGGCAAAGTATTGACGCGCAATAAACTCACCTATGACAATGAAGAGTTGCATCATCGAGCCATTGACGGTTTGGCCAAGTTATTCGAACGAGATTTTCTTGTGCCAAAGGGTGCGGTAGAAACGCAAGGCAATATTTTAGTAACAAACAAACAAACGAATGTTGCGTTCGCCGCCGACTTGCAAGAACGTCACAGAGCAGCCCAAGGGGAAAAGCCCTCTTTAAAAGCGAATAGTTTTGGTCGTGCCCACCAGCAACGCAGCCAACATAAATCGGAGCGAAAACGCATGAAATTGCGAAAACATCAACTCGCACTCGACGAGGAGACCATCAGCCCCGTATCGGGCACCATCATACGGAAATTGCGCGACGATGAAGAGTTGGTGGTGCGCAAAGGTGACATTGATCCGGCTTTCAATGTGGTTGAAATCACCGACGAAGCTAAGGCGATTTTGGCCAGCATCGACAACAAAATCGGCGCTTACTTGTGCCAACTGTGTCGCACACTGTACGATGATGCATTCCAATTGGCACAGCATCGGTGTCCACGCATCGTTCACATCGAATATAAATGCTCCGAGTGTGAAAAGGTGGGTGGAGATAATGGGTGGATATTAAAGACTTGATACAATTTTCTTTTCGCCATTTAGGTCTTTAATTGCCCAGCTAACTTAGCCTCACATCGCCGCTGGCACAAGCCTAAGTCCGAGCTAATGGCCAGCAGTGGGCAGAGCAAGAAGCGGCAACAATACGAACAAGCCACTGCGCAAGGAGGCATGGGACATGAAAAGCGAAATTCAGGTGATGAGGGACCAGAGGGAGTTTATCCATGCGTGCAGTGCGGAAAAAATTTCCGACGGTAAGTGGGTTAATCAAGCTTATCTAAAGCAGCACAAACTTAATTGAAGAATAAAAAAATGCATTATCTTTCTTTATATGTATGTATTTGTGGAAACTCTACCATCCTCATTACAGCCAAGCCTATTTGAAAAAGCATCAAGCATCACACCAAATGCTGGAAAATCTCAAATCTTTGGACATCTTCAAAAACTCTGCTGCCATTCGAAATCCGAGTTTTCCGCATTCAATGCCACAACCTAAAAGCCATTTCAGCTTTTCCAATGCACCGGCGACCGCAACATCTTCGCGTTTACCCCACATACACGCCGCCCACTTCAACAACCCTCACACGCACACCATCAAACCCTATCCGCAGCGTTTGAACGCATTCCCCTTCGATCAACGACGCTTCTATTCACTTAGTGACTTTTATCTGTCCCAACACTTGGATCATTCGCATTCCGCCTTCCAGTACGTGCAGGCCAATCATTTGCGCAACGTAACCACTGTAGCTGGTGCCTTTGCTCCACGCGCCCAACTGGTACCGCCGCCGCCCCCTGCTTTGGTTGCAAAATGACCCAATATTGTGCGTCCCGTGCCACGCATTGCACTTGGCACCACTATAACGACAACAACAACAACACTCAGCAGAGACATGACACAAGTACCGACGGCACCGGGACCATCAGCGGCTGCTGGCCTGGGCGCTTCGACTAATGCTGCATCAGCTTTCTTGGTTGGCAATAGTCATTTTAGTTGGTTTCCGGCTGCGCCAACGGGCGTAGAAGCCATGCCAACGGCAACACCTCCTGTATTACCTACTTTCAGGGGACATATTTAGGGCAGGCATTTGGAATGTGTGTGTTGAATTTGCCATGGAGAAAGTAGTAGTTAGTAATGAATTTGAAATATTTTTTTTTTTTAGCTAAACTAAATAATTAAAAATGAATATTTACATAGATACTTAAATATATTGTATTTATTGCAATTATTAAATATTGAGTTAATAAAAATAGTAAATAAAATCTATGTGTATGCAAGTGTACATACGTATCGTCGATGTTTTTGCAAAACCGCCCATCGACCAAATGCGAATCCGCCTATCGACGGCACTCAAATTTTGCAGGAGAGCGAAACAACGGGTTTTCTTTGAAGGCATTGACTTGATAGGCGGCATTTTCTGTAGCTATTTTTTTTACAAATCTGTTGTTTTAATAATGATTTTAAGATTTTTATGCATAAATCTCGATGCCTGGAGTTCAGGGTCACCAAATCTCAGTTTTGCCACAAGGCGATTTAGGCGGTTTTGCAACTGGTCGACGGGCGGTTTCGCAAAAACACCGACGATATGCACATATATGTATTTCCCGTTAAATGTTTCGCTTTTCCTCAGTGTTAAGCTTTCGACTGAAATGGCCCATTTGAAGTGCGTAGGATAGCACGTAAGACATGTAAGTTTCCTCATGAACACCGTGAAGAAGATGAGAGCGCGGACCTAAAAATAAAATATGTAACTACAAAAATCTTTCATATGCAAGTATTTGGTAGTATGCGGACCAGAATGAGTCTTAGCATTCAACCCTACGATGTGGCCCCTATGTACGAGGACAATTCGAAAAGTCATTGACTTTTTGAATTTTACGCACAGGAACCTTAAATGCCAACTGCCATCGATTAATAGACCACTGTAAAAGTTTAAGCAAGCTATGCTATTTAGTTTATGTTTGACAGCCATTGAATTCTAACGAAAATGCAAAAAATTAAATTTGTGTGCTAATTAGGCATAGTTTTTTTGAGTCGAAAAATCCATTACCGAAACCAAGGAAAGGCTTGAAAAATACAATGGCGATTCTGCACCATAAATCTCAATGCCTAAAAAGTGGTTTACTAAGTTCCGTTGTGGTCATACTAGCAGAAGTAACGCCGAACGCCCAAGTGGCCCAAAAGAGATCGTCACTCCAGAAATCGTTGATAAGAGACATGAAATGATCTTGGTGTATAAAGTGGCTGAGGCTGTAAGCATCTCCACTGAGTGAGTAGATAACATTTAGCACGAACAGTTGACTATGAGAAAGCCGGCCATGGGATTGGTGCCGCGCCTGCTGACACTGGACCAAACGCAAACGTGAGGCCACTTCAAAGGCGTATTGGGCGATGTTCAGCTCGAATCCGAACCAGTTTTTTCATCGTTTCCTAACGGTTGACGAAATGTGAATCTACCACAATACAATAGAGATCCATCAGGGAATGCACAAAAAAGAAGGTCAAAGTGGGTCTGAAGGCGAATAAGGTTATGGCCAAAGGTTTTTGGGATGCTCGCGGTGTCACTCACATCGATTAACTTGAAAAGGGCAAAACGAACACTGGCGTATATTACGTCGAGGTTTTGAACAGATTCGATATTGACTTGGAACAAAAACAAGCGCACTTAATTCTTAAAACAACTTAAAAAACAAGTCTCCCGCCAGCTCCTTCGTCCACTTCTCCCCCTCCTCTTCACCTTCTAGTCCATTGAAAACCTTTTTCAACCCAGATGTACAATCAGGGAAGTAAACAGATGGCAATCTGAGGACTCCTGGTCAGGGTAATGTGAAGGGTGGTTCAAACGAGTCCAGGTGTCAAAGCAGGTTTTTGTTAAGTGCATGCGGGCATTTTGTTTGCGAAATAATAGTCCGAGCTGCGATCGATAGGCGAAGTATTTATAATGCTGGATTTCCACTAGGCATTAAATGGCAAAAATGACAAATGACAAAGTCGGGCATTAAAAAATAATGGTGGCATTACATTCAAAAATCTTTCATTAAGTTCATTTCCACATGGCATTATTTTAAATGGCGTTCATTTTTTGTCGTTTCAATGCCTAGTGGAAATTCGGCATAAGATATCATCCGAATTTGTTGAACTCCGAGATACGCCAAGAAAGAAACAATGCAGCGGTATTAAGGAAAAGCGTAGAAATGAGGAAAGAAAGCGAAGTAAAAGAGCAGCACAGGCGGACCATCCACTGCAGCCTCAATGATCAACGAAACAAATTAGGAATAATGGTCGAATGACTTCAGTCGATTTTGTGGCCCGACTAGGGAGACCCAAATGCATAGGTATTCTTTTTGAATACGGAGGCGCGAAACAGGTGGTCGCTGCATGATTCTTTCGAATCTTCGGAAGCTGTAAATTAAGTAGTCGTATTATTTTGAATAGAGCCTAGATAAACTAGCGCGTGACAATAAAATTTGCGACTGTGACTATAGTCGAGCAGTTACGCTCAAGGACAAAGGAAGCGCCCTGAACAATGATAATATAACCTAATATGGAAAGGCTAGTTATGACAGATCGTGGAACTTGGATGCTAAGAATCGTAAAGTTCTTCATGCATACTTCAGGAATTAAAATGTCCTCTAATGTTATATTTAGTTCAAATGATACCACCATAAAAAACCCTTACATCATACCTTTTGCATAAACCACCGCCTCCGTAGGCATATTAACCAAGCGGTCATTCGCTGCCGCTTCATTTTCATTCGGAAAGTCCATCTCTTTAGGTATGACATCTACCTCAGCGCTGCCATCGACTGCATTTCGCACATAATAGCCATTGGTGAATACCGACAAAATCAGAGTTTCATCTTCACTGAGAAAAAAAAAAGTTTGCAAAAGTCTACTTTATACTCGTATACCATCTTTCCTGCTACATACCTATTCTGCTCCACTATCTGTTGCACTACATCGTTCCAATGCAAGAGTGTGCGTATTTGCTCTGACACATTTGCCGAAGATTTGATGCCACTCTCCACGATAAGGAAGTATCGCTTATCTTTGCGCTTTAAAACTTCCAAAGCTTTCCCCATCATTTCCGGTAGTTGTGGCGTACGTTTCTTCGGCGCTTTCAGACCATCCATCAACAGAGGTAGATAATTATTCGCGAAAATACCCATGACATGATCCACATTAGTGCCATTTAACTCCTGCAAATCCTGGTTATTCTGCAGTACCGCAAATTCACGCTTCAATTTAACGTTCAGCTTTTGCCAATCACTTATGATATTGCGGTTATCTCGCGAATCGCAAACTGTCTCATCGACAGGGTCCCATGCGGTGTTAGGTGAATGTGAGACGAGCGTTTGTCTTCCGCCGCCCATAATCACATTGACCTGCCGTCCCACTTCACTTTTAATGAGCTGCAATGCGGTGTCGATACAACCAGCCGCTCTAGCGGCTACTGGCAGCGCAGCATCGCATTCCCAAGCAGTGTTGGGCGTGTGAGCATATAACGCTCCCATAGCCGCGCCGGTAACGCGACGTGTGGTTATAAGCCCAGTGCGCATACCATTTTCCTGTGCCTGCTCGAGTATGCTTTTCACGTAATGGCTAATATTCGCTGAAGCACGACAATCGCGAAAATGCACGCTGCTATCGAAACCACCCACACGAAAATTGGGACGCACACCATTAAAAAGAGCGCTGGCCACGGTGAATGGGTCACAGAGATCCGTATTACTGCAACTATTCTGAAGGTAACGGAAAAAATATACATATTTATTTTAAATTTAAGCTGCTTTGTTCCTTAACTTAATGTCGTGTTTTAACCTTTAATCGGCCAAGATGCGGAAATCGCTCCCAACTTAGCTTACGTTGTGGTTTACTTCGATTAGACAGCACTTCACGCGCTGCTGCCATCGTTTCCGTATCAATGCCGCTGATCACAAATATGATTGCGTTACGCGCCAGCTGCTTACGCCAATTCTTATTTAACGCCACTTTCAGCTCTTCAATAGCTTCATCGAACCATAATTTCTGCTCTGGTGGCATTTCGTCCTTCCAGTAAGGTGTGTCTTCTATACTAGAAACCTCACTGTCCACCTCGTAACGCATCATAATGCTTACGCAAAACATTGTTATGATCATGGTGAGTAGGATTGTAGTTGCAAAAGCAAAGATGCGCGTCGTGTTTAGGCGCAAATGACTAATTGGTGGCGATGATTTACTTTGTTCCATAGCTAGGTGCGATAATTTGTAGTCTACTGGTGCAGAGGAAGTATTAAACTGAGCTCGTATGAAAAGTATAGTCGATCCATGAGGTGATGATCTTCTCACTTTTCGCTATCTCTGCTATACAAATTGACAAGATATAAATTTAATGGATGCGCTGATAACGTGCATGATAATTTTTTTTTATTGAGCTGTGTTGATTTCACGAAATAAAAGATGAAAAATACGTAGTACCCTTTTGTATGTATAAACATGCTTTTCTAAAGGGTTGCCCATTGTGTTGCTTTAATTGAGTTCCATAGCTCTCATGCGTTGTTTTTTTAGCCCTCAAGCTCGGTCGAAATAATAAAGAACGCACGCTCTTCGTAGTCTCGGAAGAAAAATTGAAACATCCATAGCGAACAAAGAGGTTACATAGTTTACTACCTGCTCGAAGGATAACATCTAAGAATTTTGCAAGAGGTAAAGAGGTAGCTTCTTCGCAATGAAACACAGATGAAATTTTTTCCAAATAGGATGTAGATTTACGGCTAACAGGTAAGGAAATATTGACCATTTCTTCAAGCAGAAAAGTCATTCTTCTTTAAAGAAGTTAAATATCTGGTGATGGAGTGGTCCATTATGGCAAGCTCTTATGAAATTCGCACCTAAATAAAGATAGTCAACAACAAGGCTTATCTCGGGGACAATGTGAAGGATAAAAAGCTTATATGTAAGTATTGGCCAATACAATAGCACCCCCATTTCAAAGTGATATTGTTTGCCACTCATGTTTATTTATTTATTTTTTATAATTTTCAATTAAAATACAGTTCATTCTCTCACAAAACTCACATAAACTCAAGTTTAAAACTTTTTAAAAGACCGCAAAAAAGTGCAACAAATTTTCATCCAAATTTCAAACTTTTTTCTCAGAAGCGGTAGAATACACAGTTTTATAGCCCATTCAATTTTAGTCTAATAATGTGCAAGTTTCAAGTGGCTAAAAATTACCGTTGATTTTTTAGAATTTTTTTTCGCCGAGGATGTTGCGGGTTTCTGCCATATAAAAATAAATTGTGTTTAGTCGTTATATGGAAGCAAATGAGACAAAAAAAAAAATTCTAAAAAATCAACGGTAATATTTAGCAACTTAAAACTTCCACATTATTGAACATTGAAATTGAATGCGCTATAAAACTGTGTACTCAAAAAAATTCTAGAGCTTCTGAGAAAAAAGTTTGAAATTTAAGGGGAAGTTTGTTGTACTTTTTTGGGGTCTTTTAAAAAGTTTAAAACATTGGTTTATATGGGTTTTGTTAGAGAATGAACTGTATTTTAATTGAAAATTCTTAAAAACAATTAATTAAACATAAGTGGCAAACAATATCGCTTTGAAAGGGGGGTGCTATAGATATGTCCAATACTGTATATCCATCAAATCCCAAGGAAAAATTGCAGATTTGATTTATGAACCTGCGCCTACGGAATTTAACTTTACGCATATATGTATGAGAAAATGCAAAATGAATTAGGCACACTAACACATTCTCACTTTTAGCTAACGCTTGTTTGTGGTAGTGCCCAACTCTGCACATGACCGAAGTAGCCTTCAGCTTAGGCACCTCGTTCCTTAACTAACGATACTTCAATCAAAGAAGACCTGTGATGAAATAAAGGTTTGTCAAATTATCAGTATTGGCTCACCCTTTAAAGAAAAATTGCAATACAACGTTGGCTTGACTATTTGTTTTACCTTAATACTGTACAAGATAACAGATTTCCAAGTAGATTCATACAGCAAACATGTATGAAAATATATATACGCAATTAAATTTAGTTTACCGTGTTTGCTGTGATAAGCGTTATATGTAGACGGAGGGCTCATGACCAAAAAACCCATCATACTTCAAATCGATTGAAATTTTTTGTGAGCTTAGCTTGTTAATATATAAATCGAGATCCGGAGGGCTGGCTGCTGAACAGAGGTGTTGACTATGCGTTTTTAGCTATTAAAGATGTCAATAAAAACCGATTACTCAACATATTTCAGATGGCTTGAAATTTTGATAGAATTATTTATTTATTTATTTACAGTATATAGAAAATGAATTCAAAGTTTCCTGCCAATTCTTAGCGTTTTAAAGTACTGCCAGACCATGTTGAAAGTGCATTGTTACAAGTATAACTCAACATACTTCAGATGACTTGAAATTACATACATACATATGTACATATATATATATATATATATATGCCTACTTTCTTACATATTTTTACTCTTCTATTGTTTCTTCAATTATCAATTCTCTGCAAACCTAACGTAATTTGCGGTCAACAAACAATAAAACCTACGTAGAGGACACCCCAAACCTTGTGATATATAAAGTGTATTTTATTTGATTGAAATTGTCATAATAAATGACTGAGTGCGACAATTGTACAGACACGCACCTATTTTAGTACATACAGATGTACTGGCTCAACGACAAAAAAAACTACAAGCATTCATATTCATACGAAAATAATTGGCCTCCAAAGGTTGATTTATCCACCTGTTATGTCAAAATGGACAGTTGGAAAACTGTTAAGGTAGCGTGCCATAAATATGTATTTGTTTTAAATGTCACCAACTATGCTAAAAAAATTATTGTCAACTTACATACATATTTATATATATGTATAGACATACACCTACATATGTATGTATGTAATTTCATATACAGCTAGCGTCACAAATATGCATACCGTGACGTTTGACGATTTTATTTATTTATATTTGCCATACCAAATTTTTCTTATTTTTTTTTATAAAAATCGAGTTCATTTAACAGCAAAAGCCATAAGAATGAATTTTTTTAATTTCATCCAGAACTCGGGGAAAATATAAGAAATGTCATGAAATTTGTATCGAAATTTTCAATTAGAAGTTGCAAAAAATTACCGTTAATTTTTGAGAATTTTTTTTTTTTCTGAAAAGGGTGTTGCACATTTTCTTTCATCAACGCAGCCTTTTTTACATGAAAGAAGGTACGCAACACCCTCAGCGAAATAATTGTTTCTTATTATTAAAGTATGGTGGGCTACAAAACTGCACAATCAATATTTTTATAAGAAATCGAAATGAAAGTTTCAATGAAATTTTCTTGGTATTTATTGCATTTTCGCCGAGTTCTGTATGAAATTAAAAAAAAAAAAAAATATTCTTGTGGTTTTTGGCCCTTGAATGAACTATATTTTTATAAAATAAAAAGAAAAAGTTGGTATGAAATATATATTTAAATAAATAAATTCGTTAAAATGTATGTATGTATGCATACTTTTGATGCAGACTGTATGTTAACACCGCATTGGTATGTAATTTTAGAATGTGGTAGAAATAAAACAAGTAAAGAAATTTTACGTATTTATGGAAGCAACCGATTTATTTTTATGCCCAATGCCTATCATTGCTAGTAACTAACTGCCGACATATAAATGATCGAAGGGCACTTTGAGCAAGTTTGCTAACAAAATTTTTCATTATATCATACAGATTTTGGTGATAAAATTTGACAACATGTTTTGACACAACTTTATCTCCTTTATCCAAACATTTTCCGATTACGTTATGGGTAGAAAACGGACAAATAGCCAATTAAGCAGCGCATGTATGTAAATAATTGAATACCTATTCTGGTCTAAATTAATTTTTGATATGTACCGTTTTTCAATGCGATTTTACAATGTTTTTTCACTCATTTTATCCACTGGTATACGGGAAAGCAGCTCAAAGTATATAATCTCTCTTGGGATTCCTATTTTCACAAGTTGTGGAGGCGCCAAACAGCAGGTGGACCAAACTGCAGCAAATGCCTCAAATTTCTAAGTGACTATTTGACCGATAGCTTCGGAAAAACTAAATTAGGGGGTTTACTAACATTCGCCAGAAAAGTAGAATGATGCAAAGGCATATAGGGACCAGTCTGGGCATCACAATAAGCCAACGCGGCCTATGAGTGAACTTTTTAACCATAGCTGCCCAACTAAACTAACCTATAATTCGGATAAAAAATTGCTCCGTATTTTAGAAACGAAAATTGATACAATGTTTTATTTCAATAATTTACGGCACTTTCAAAGATTTCATAGATAACAGTGAATCCATTCATCGTATCTATGCGTTGGTTATATAAAATACTTTCGAAGTTAGAAAAGCACGCATTTGGAAGTGAAAACCACTATAAAATTGTCACAATTATTTTGAATTTGTTGCTGATAATTGAATCTGACAGGTGAATGTAGCGGTCGTGCTAAATATGTGAACATTCACACACATATATAGGAGTATAATACATACATATGAAATCGGATATTAGTACATGGGTGAATGCAAATATTAAAATATTTTTAAAGTCATTTCGGGATCCCGGAATTCGACTGGAAACTTTTTCATTGCTGTTTCAACTTAAGAAAAATGTGTACATACATACATGTTAGCTATGTTTCTTTAGTTTTGTCAGCAGAAACCAGCAGATGAGAATATAGTCACAATATTTACTAAAAAAATAATAAGAAGAAACTGTCTGGCTGAGGCATCGTCTTCTCACGCTCTTTTATCGATAAATATCTCTATAGAAACAAACCTACTACTAAAATGTACTGGAAAGTTCGCGCAGTTTTAAGAAATATATGTTAAAAATGCTTGAAAGTGCAATAGATAGTTGATGTGAAATGATTATATTAGTGGGATTAATGAAATGTCGCGGCTTATTACTTTTTGTATGAAAACTTTTTTGCAACACTGTCATATTATTTGAGTTGGCAATCATTGCAAAGTCAAAGTTGTGAAAAATGGAACAAGTCTAAAATATTTACCGACTTATCTATAAATAAAACAAACAATGAAAATATAAGAGGCTAAAATTCAACTTTGCAATTGTACCGATTAAAAAAGTATTAATGCCAATTTAAAGGTATTCACTCTAAATACCTTCTACAGGGTTTAGTTTTATTTCTATAGCATTAATTATGAAATTTTATTCAAAAACAGGTTATTTTAGGAATAAATTATAAATTTGTTTGGTTGCTTAAAAATATAAAAACAAAAAATTATGTACATCAAGTGAAGGTAATAGGTTATGTAGTTCATAAGAT